CTTCAATGCCAAAGTGGTTTGGTAACAATTCTATTAACGAAAGCACCGAATTCAACAATTTGGTGGTTGCCCTGCCGCTCTCTTCTCTGTTCTCCTCTCAGCGGCATAATATGGGATGGAAAATTTCGCTTGTCGGCTTAATTTTCCCTCCCTACTACTATTTTCCCACTACTACTATTTGGCAAACCGAATTAAAACGCTAGGCAACACTGCATCCACAGTTATGTTCGCTCGTACCTACTGCTCGACTGCTCTCACCAATGCCAGCAACCACTGACATTGACACACTCACCCCCTATCGTTGTCCCGCTCGCACACATTCATGGGCGGACGCTACGCTCGAAAAAGGCCGCCTAGCTGTCGTCGAAACCTAGCAGCAGCAGTCGCATTTTATACATGAAAATACCGCAGAGCAGAGAACACCACTCACACACATACGCACACCAACGGAAAGAATAAAAAAAAGTCGTCGAAACGCGTTCGGTTGGAGAAAAGTCACACAAAAAAAGTGAACAGATTCCATTTCTTTGTTACTCACTTTTCCAAAGTGTAGGAAAACAGACGTCAAATTGTTTAAGTGAACGGTTTTGCTGCCGTCGAAATTCAGGATATAAACTTCTCTAGTCAAACCTTTATTGTTGATAATGTAAGTGGCGGCGCCCCGTTGCCAAGCGCGATTCGCCCTAACCAACAAATGTGTGCCAGTCGGGGAGGGGAGGGAAGAGTATGTGTGTGGAAAATGGGGAAAAGTGCAGTGAAAATTTTCCACCCACCCCCGTCTCCATACACCATATGCATACAGAAAATGGAGTGTGTGTTAATTCTTGGTTTTCCTCTATGTTTCCTTTCCAGGGATGATCGGAATAGTGAGATAGCTCAGGATGGTCCCGCTGGCATGGACCCCGAGGGTGTCATCGAGTCGACCTGGCATGAGGTCTATGACAATTTCGATGACATGAATTTGCGCGAGGAGCTGCTGCGCGGCATCTATGGCTATGGTTTCGAGAAGCCATCGGCCATCCAACAGCGCGCCATCATTCCGTGCGTCAAGGGTCGCGATGTCATTGCCCAGGCTCAGTCCGGTGAGTAATCTCCCATACAGTACATATCCACATTATCCAACAACAAAGAAAAATTGCTGCGAGAAAGTGCAAAAGTTGCAAAAAATTAAAGCAAAAAGAAGAGTTTGGAGCAGCAGCGTCGATGACTCAGCTGCACTGCGTTTGGTCTGTGTTCTCTCTCAAGCGAGCTCTCTGCTCTCTTTGGTCGCTCTCCTCTTCTCTCTCAGCCGGCCCCTCTCTCTTTTAGCGTGTTTTGAGCTTGCGCGCCACTTTTCTGTAGGCTGGCGCGCGTTTTTCTGTTTTCTTGCTGCTTGCTGCAGAAGAAAGTTCCTGGAAAGAAGGTCGTGGTCGTGGCCACGAAATGGGAGTGAGACTTTCTACCTGCAAGAAAAACGGACAAAGATCAATGCAAATGTCAGCTGTCGCTGTCTTGTTATACAAGAACATGATCTAGATGCAGGGTTGGGTTTTGCCTGCCCCTACCTGCAGATCTACTTTTAAAGAAAATGGACATTTGCACCCTTATTTTCTTCCAACCTTCTATGCAAATGTCAGCTCTCTGAGCAAATCTAATCCATTATTCATGCTTCAAAAAAAAGATGGCCTATACTTGGGCCTGTCCTTGAGGGTTTTCTGCCTTTCGATACTCATTTTTTCCATGAGAAATTCCAAATTTCAGGGATTTTCCCCTAATTAACCAAAGAAAACCATTTGAAAAGTAATTTGAAACCATTTACCAATGCTAACCATAATTTTCCTATCTCTATCTTTCAGGTACTGGCAAGACTGCCACCTTTTCGATTGCCATTCTTCAGCAAATCGACACGGCCGTGCGCGAATGCCAGGCTTTGATCTTGGCCCCCACTCGTGAGTTGGCCACGCAGATCCAGCGCGTGGTGATGGCTCTCGGCGAGTACATGAAGGTGCATTCGCATGCCTGCATTGGTGGCACCAATGTGCGCGAGGACGCCCGCATTCTGGAGTCCGGCTGCCATGTGGTGGTGGGTACACCCGGTCGTGTCTATGACATGATCAACCGCAAGGTGCTGCGCACTCAGCACATTAAGCTGTTCGTGCTGGATGAGGCCGATGAGATGTTGTCTCGCGGTTTCAAGGACCAGATCCAGGATGTGTTCAAGATGCTGCCCCCAGATGTGCAGGTGATCTTGCTGTCTGCCACCATGCCGCCAGATGTGCTCGAGGTGAGCCGTTGCTTTATGCGCGAGCCCGTCAGCATTCTGGTCAAGAAGGAGGAGCTGACCCTTGAGGGTATCAAGCAGTTCTACGTGAACGTCAAGCAGGAGAACTGGAAGCTGGGCACACTGTGCGATCTGTACGACACTCTGTCCATCACCCAGTCGGTCATCTTCTGCAATACGCGTCGCAAGGTCGATCAGCTTACCCAGGAGATGTCCAGCCACAACTTCACTGTGTCGGCCATGCACGGTGATATGGAGCAGCGTGACCGTGAGGTCATCATGAAACAATTCCGTTCGGGCTCGTCCCGTGTCCTGATCACCACTGATTTGTTGGCGCGTGGTATTGATGTGCAGCAGGTGTCGCTGGTCATCAACTATGACCTGCCCTCGAACCGCGAGAATTATATTCATAGGTAAGATATACAGAAGAGCGCCCCCGCCGTGGGTGCCCTCTAAGGAAACGCCTTTAAATTGTGTATGTTTGTTTATTGCAGAATCGGTCGCGGTGGTCGTTTCGGTCGCAAGGGTGTTGCGATCAACTTCATTACGGATGATGATCGACGAATCCTTAAGGATATTGAACAGTTCTATCACACAACAATTGAGGAAATGCCTGCTAATATTGCCGATTTGATTTAAATAGTTTCTGCTGAGCCACGAAACAACAAAACGCGAGAGATAGATCGAGAGAATCCTAAATAAAAAATAAAATAAAGTGAGTGAGCAAAAATCGAAGATCTGAAGCGCAAAACTATTCAAACCAATATTCAAAGAGAACTTCAAGCTAAATATTTATCCAAACATCAATCCAAAAAAAAAAAAGGGCAGCAAACAACAACAAGAACACCTATCGACAAGAAGAACTACCGTCAAGGGGGCAGGGCAGGAGTTCCAGGCAAACAACATCAGAGGCAGCAAACACCAACCAAGCAGCGATCGGCGTCGGCCAGGGCAAAACAACATCATCCAGCCGTGGATTGGACCCCCCTCCTCCACCCATATCCAATTAGTTCTCTCACCTGTGTAACATCAATTTTAAAACTGCGTCGTCAACCAGCAGCAACAAATATATACAAATACATATATATGAAACAAATCCCCCATTTGCATCTATCTGAAGAAAACAAATCGAAAGCGAACAATTGGCGAGCCCAACATCTTTTTGCAACCACACACACCTTTGTTTTAGCTTTTTCTAGAACTATTGATATAAATATATTAAAAACAATACAAAAACCTACACATATACAATTTATGTTTAAATATAACAACACGCGCCCACGAGCAACAGAACAGCAGCAACAGCTGAGGAGCCATCCATAGAACAACCAACCACCCACACAGCACAACAACACCCTCCCCCAGAGCAATGCCAGCCATATTAAGGAGTGGCATATCAGCCATTCGTGCCGATCAGAAGACGAACATCCATAACATCATCGGCAGTAGCCACCTGGTGGTGTCGCTTTCCCATTTTATTGTACTCTTAATTCAATTATTTCAACAACTACGTTTTCCCTATGTAATACTACTACTACTAAATTATACCAATTGTAAGAAATTATATAAAAATGGCGAACAAAAGCAGAGCTTATAGTGTTGTTGTTGTTGCATTTCATTTAGCTGCAATTTGCAAACCAATTAAAATTAATTCAATTCAAAATTGAAATATTGTAGGCTTGCATTTTGGTTCTTGCTATCGATAGCGATAGGTCGTATTCCACTACGATTCTTCAAGTCCAGTGTAGTGGGAAAAACAGAGTAAAATTTTTTTTTAATCGAATTTAAATCGAAAATTTTTCAGAAACGTGCACTTTCCTCGCTAGAGGTTTCTGTCGAATTTTACATGAATATGTAGTTAATTTTTAGCAAATGTGTAGTTAGCGTGTAGGTACCATGTCAAACATCGACCTTGCCATCAAAATACAATTTTCAAATAACCGCCAAACTCCATTTAGCGCACAAAAATATCGATATTATTCGCTCTCAAATCGTGGTGGAATTCAAAATTAAATTAATGCAGAAACTACTTAGTCTCTGTTTTAAAGATATTAACGAAATTTTGCAGCTCACGGGTACCAATAATAGGTATCAGAACCGGGATAAATGTATTTATAAAACACAAAACATATGAATTAATGGGTAAAAAACAAAAAAAAAAAAAATGTAACATCAATTAAAGGGTATACAAAAGCAAAACGCATAAAAGAAACTTGCTTGACCAGCAACAATGACGTCACATTTAGTCAACATTTACGTTTTATGCTTTGGCCGTTCTTGTTTGTACCTTTTTATGTAAACAATGCAATAAAAAGGACTTCTGAAAACTAGCCAATCTTGTAGAAAATTGATGTATCTATCGGATAAAATTATATGTTTAGGGCTGAGAGGGCCAACTAGCTAGTAATATTAAACTGAATATCAAAATCATGGAATACGATTTCAATCAATAAAATAGAACGTTATCCCATTGTTGACCAGGGGGGCATTTAATATTTCCACGAAATGTATGTAACTTTAATATCTTTTACGCATTACAGGTGAAAGATGTCGGTGGTCATTTTTGTTTTGTTAGTAAAAAGGAGGATGGGGCTACAAGGAGCTTGTACAAACAGTATTATTTTCCGCGGTTTAACATAGGGTGCTCAACTTTTTAAATAGTGGGGTGTTAAGTGGGTTAAGTCTCGTTTGATCGCCGGATTGCCCTGGCTCTTTTTATCGTTATCGTCCCACGCTTATCGCACAACCAGCCAATAAAAATTATTAATCATTTGTTTTGCCTTTCAATTCGATCGATAATGTCAATGCAGTAACTTCGAATTCGAGACGTCAAATTTAAATCAGAAAAAAACCCTACCAAAATGGGCCAAAAAGTGTCGCGCACCGATTTTGAATGGGTGTACACGGAGGAGCCGCATGCCTCGCGCCGTAAACTCATACTCGAAAAGTATCCACAAATCAAGAAGCTGTTCGGACACGACCCGAACTTCAAATGGATTGCCGGCGCCATGGTCTTGACACAGTTACTGGCCCTGTTCGTTGTCAAGGATCTGTCGTGGTCATGGCTTCTAGTGGCGGCCTATTGCTTTGGCGGCATCATCAACCACTCGCTGATGTTGGCCGTCCACGAGATTTCGCACAATCTGGCCTTTGGACACAGCCGTCCCATGCACAATCGAATGTTGGGATTCGTTTGCAACCTGCCGATTGGCCTGCCAATGAGCATATCTTTCAAGAAGTATCATCTGGAACATCATCGGTACGTATTATATGTTATGACGTTATTCTATATATCATAAGTCTTCACACCCATACAGAGGCATTCAATCGTTTACAGTTACGTGCCGGTCTGTGGCTGCGGTGGCAGAGGTGCGGTCGCTGTTGAGCTTTAATTTGTTGTTGCTGGGGCGTAGTCATAAAGAAGAACTATAAATGTGGGGGCCCCTACTCCTCATCGTTCTGCGGCACCATCCACCCTGCCCTTTTGTACATACAATTGTTTGCAGTTGCCTATAAAGCCGGTTAGTTGTGCGTTATACAACACTGGGGGCACCCGGTGTCTGCCGCCTTGATAATGCCAGTTGAAATATACGCCCCATGATAAGCTCTCTAGCCCGTGAGGAGTCAATTTCTTGGATCTCTAGCTCAAATTAAATTGCTTGGACATTTTCGAGTGTCCGATAAGATGAGTGGCCCCGTCACATTTACAGCCAGAAAGCTCTTATGGATATCTAAATCCTTGCATTTCCTCAATTGGTCACGTAGCTCCATCGTTTCCCACTCAATTTGAGTCATTCTGAAGCTCTTATCAGCTGCATAAGTTCCCCCCACGGGCACCGTATATTATTTCCATATATGAGGCAAATATTTGTGTTTACAGTGGACACACCCGATAAGGGGCTAAATATTATATCTAATCTCTAATCAAGTGCCTTGTTGATTGTCATATACCCTATTGAATCCTTTTACTTATGGTAGTTTTTTTTTTGTACGCATTCCACAGTTACCAAGGCGACGAGGCAATCGATACGGATATACCCACACTGCTGGAGGCACGACTCTTTGACACCACATTCGGAAAATTCCTTTGGGTCTGCCTGCAGCCGTTCTTCTACATATTCCGACCATTGATAATTAACCCCAAGCCACCGACACGCCTGGAGATCATCAATACCATTGTGCAGCTGACGTTCAACGCTTTGATTGTTTACTTTTTGGGATGGAAGCCCATGGCCTATCTGCTGATTGGTTCCATACTGGCCATGGGCCTGCACCCGGTGGCCGGTCACTTTATATCGGAGCACTACATGTTCGCCAAGGGCTTCGAGACGTACTCGTACTATGGACCACTGAATTGGATTACCTTCAATGTGGGCTACCACAACGAGCATCATGACTTTCCCGCTGTGCCCGGCTCGCGCCTGCCGGAGGTGAAGCGCATTGCACCGGAATTCTACGATACGATGCCACAGCACACCAGCTGGAGCCGTGTGCTGTACGACTTCATCATGGATCCGGCTGTGGGTCCCTATGCACGTGTGAAGCGTCGTCAGCGCGGACTGGCCTCCTAAACTGTCGGTTGTTTTTGGTTTACTCAACGTTTCCTGTCGTTAAATGTAATCTCAGACCCCAATTGTGGGATTTTCTATATACATATTCCACACGATTGAACCAGAAACACAGAAACGGAACGATAACGAGCACGAAAACCGAAACAAGCAGATTAGATATGGGCCTGATTTGAGCATATTGTATGTGTGTATATATATATAATATCTGGTATTAATGCTAGACCGTGTGCGCTTAGTGTGTCCAGCAAAGGACCAACTAGGGTGCACTCTCGAGCGCTTTAATTAATTGTTACCTCATAAGTTGGAAAGCCTGTTAAATCTAGTGTGTAATACTTGTCCTATACATACATATATACTAATGTCTTTAGTATTTTCTGTGCATATATTTATATATATTTTTGCTTGACTTAAAACACACATTTTTTTAATATCCTTTACGCTCTGTGTGTCTGTTTTCTCGCCCTCCAGATGGTCAGCAGCTAGTAGCCAAAATCATGTATTTTTGATAGCCTCTTGAAAAACTGTTACCTAAGAATCAAAAATCAAAGTCAAAGACCGCTCTGCTGTCTGGCAGGGCATGTCGTCTGCATACACGGCAGGCACTTAATATTTGAACAAAAATAAAAACAAACAATCAATTGTCAAAATACTATACCAAAATTGGTTAATACTCTGTGCTGTGTTGCGCTGTGTTGTGGTGTGATGCACGTGGAGCAGTTTGTCTACGGCGATTGCATGCCGCACGTCATGTGTGGGGGAGTCATTGTGTAGCCAATTGTAGACCCATCAACTGATAATAATAGTAGCTACGATAAGCTTTCGTCTATCAAAACGAAAACACAGAAATTCTGTTGTTCATATGTATGATTGGGGCTTGGGCCTAATAGACCTTGAAGAAGGTGACTGAAATTGTGTAATCGGTACTTTGTACGAGGATCTGTGCAATGGCCCGAAAGAAGATCGAGTTTAGGATTATATTATTGGGTTTTGCTTTTGGATATATGTTTGTACCTATGGATAGATAAATATCGGCCTGATTACAAAATAGATTTGTTGTTCCCCCCGTTCCATTTCCGTAAAATTGGTACCAATTTCAATTGTGAACAAAGTCAGATCGATTTGCATTAAGTAATCTTTAAATTGTGTAAAACGATGATGGCAAAGTCCAACCACAAATCAGACAACTGTGAAATTCTATATAATTTGCAGTGACACGCAAATAATATATAACAAATAATTAAGAGCAATAATATGACTGATGAAAAGCCATAAAAAAGATGAATATAAAAGAAGGAAAATGTATATTAAGTTGGATCTATCTATCTACATATTTCCATCAGTTTTTACCGATATCTCCCTTCCAGCACTAAATTAGTGTAAACAATAGGTCAGGTTATACCCACCCATACACAAAAAACAAGTGTGATTTTTCGTATATCTCAAATTTCAGCAACGGTAAGCTCCAAGCAAAACAAAACACCGGACAGTAAACAATATTCCCCAAAGTATCCAATGCCTCGTATGTGTATGGGCTTTGCTTGGGAAATCAGTTATCAGTGCGGAGTATTTTTATGGCCAGGTGTTTACGCGTTAGTCAAGCTGTTGCGTTGCGGGTAGGCAACTCTCTGTCTGCATGAGTAATACCTACCTGGCTGACTTTCAAGTGGCGCACGTGGCAGGGGAAGCGTAGACTTTCCTGTGAATATATCATATGTGGAGGTGACGTGTCTGGATGGTCTGTCTCGTGTGCTTCCTACAACATTAAAAATACGTATTTTTTTTTGTTTTAAATACTATTTATATATAATTTATTTATATGATAGAATTACATATTTGTTGAGGGGGGGGAGGTGTCGTGAGGGTTAAAGATAAATTTTTTTGTGTGTGGCTTTTCGTACATTTTGTTTTGGGGGGTGTGTAGGAGGATCCATTAAAACAATAGTTAATGATCGGCCTTAATCAAAGAGAATGGTTTATCCTTAATGGTTTTGGGGATTTGTTTTTTTTTTAATATTTTTGGGTTGCTTGCATCGGGGTACCCTTTCATTTTGAGTTGTTTTTTTTATACACATTTAAAAAATGATTTTACAAAGTGTTTTCTCTTTTTTTTTTCTTTTCTTCTTGCATAAATCCTAAGCATTGTATTTTTTGTTTTTTTTTTTTGTTGTACGTTAAATGTTATCTAGATCATTTTGCAATTTTTTTGTGTTCTTTTTTATTTTTGTAATTTTTCTGTGGAAAGTTGCTTTTGTTGTTGTTATCGCGAGTCAACTTACATTTTTTATTAATTATAAATTAAAAATTATACATTTTTTCATTGTATTTTTAAAGTGTAAACTTATCTGCCTACTGCACTATATGTATATATATATGTATGATCGCGTTATTAACAACATTTTCTGCTTGTTAGATTTAAACTTTTTAGGGGGAGGGAGCGGGGGGTGTTGGTGGTTCTTTATGCTACAGTTTTTGTTTTGTTTTGTTTTGGTTTTTTAAATCAAAAAAGTTTTCTCTTGGGTCGGAAACAAAAAAAACATACAAAAAGAAAGCATTTTTGTTTTGTCTGCTTACGGGGCGCCACGCGTTCATATATGGAAGATTGTTGTTAATATTAAAGTAATATTAATATTATTTGATGCTTTTGTTTTGCAAAACGAAAAATTGTACAAAAGTAAAAGGGGCAAACGCGAGTGGAGCAGAGCAAGAAATGCCAAAAATTAATTTAATTAATATATTAAAAAATATATAATGAATATATTTAAATTAAAATAAAAACTCAACGGCGCGCGCATTGTACAAAAAACTCAAAGGCGAACACAAAAAAGTGAAATTAAATTAACAAAAACTAAGAATAGCAGGTAATGGTATCATCATATCATAATCGTAATCATAATCATAATAATAGTAAAAGTAAAAGAACGTTTAACGAACGTGAAAAGAATGGGTCTCAATTATACAAAAACAAAATTGCTATTCTGCATTTTACAAGAGTGTCTGTGTGTGTGTGTGTGTGTGTTTCGTTTGTGTGTGTATTTTCGCTTAAATTTTAATTCTTGTAGTAATAAATTGTTGTTTTCTTTCTTGTTTTTTTCTGTGTGTGTTTTTCTTTTGTAATTGTGTCTGTGTGTGGGAGTGGGTGTGTCTGTGTGTTTTACGTTTTCGAATGCGTAATAATAGCAATAATAATTAGTAAATATGTACTACAAAAACTCTCTCATCTCAAGTGACTTTTACTAAACTTAGTAAATGTGTGTGTGTGTGTGTGTGTGTGTGTGTGTAGTAGTAGTAGTAGTAGTAATAGTTCTTCTTTCTCATTAAATCATGCGTAAAACACAAAACGGCTGTTGCTTGCAAATCCATTATCTTCCTTTTCCTCCAGATCCTATCTCTCTCTGTCGCTCTATCGCGCCGATTGCACTGCCCGCTGCTTGCCCGGCGTCGCCATCGTTGTCGTCGCTCCCATGCCATGATTACTACTACTACTACTACTGCTCACCGCCACGGTGACGGTCTTCGTGCACCGTATACAAATGTAATCGTCATCGGCCTTGATCTGGCTGCGATTGAGACCCACACAGTACATGTGAAACCACTCGTTGCAGCCGCCATCGCACTGCACCCAGTCCACCTCACGCCCTGTCGGCTTATGGCAGTTCTCCGCCCTGCATTCCTCCTCGTCATCCTCCTGGGCTGCCTGTTGATTGCGCTGGGCGTGCTTCTTCTGACCGCCGCCGCCACCGCCCGTTGGTGGTGGTGCTGCTGCTGCTGCCGGTGCTGTCGTTGCCTGCGCTCCACTAGGAGTGCTCGGGCTGTTGTTGTTGTTGTTGTTGCTGCCGCTGTTACTATTCGTGTTGTTGGTGTTGCTGCTGTTGCTATTGTTGTTGTTGTTGTTGTTGTTGCTACTGCTATTATTGTTGGTGGAGGTGCGCTTACGTTTCTTATGCGCCGAACCAGGCGTGGCCGTAGGCGTGGGTGTGGTCGAACCGCTACCCACACCCGCCGCCCCCGTCGCTGCAGCCGAGGATATATTTGAGTTGGTATTGCCGCCATTCGCCTGCTTATTCTCCGCATCGGCATCCGCTCCCGGTGTCGTTGACGCCGCCGCCGCTGCTGCGGTCGCCGCCTTGGCCTCACTCTTCCGATTGGCAGCCGCTCCGCCGCCGGCATTCTTCTTGCTGGGCGTCTGCTTGGGCGTATTCTGCTTCTTGCGTGGCACGGCCGCATTGCCGCCGCTGGCATCGTTCGAACGCCGCTTCTTGTTGCGGCCATTGTTGGGGGTAATCGTGGCCGGCGTGCTGCTATTATTGCTGTTGCTGTTGGGACTGTTCTGCACCAGGAGGCTGTCGTTGGAGTCCTCGGCGCCGGAGTGAATGCTGGAGGATGTGGGCGGCAGGGATGTCGGTTGCTGTCGCTGTCGCTGCAAGTGCTGGGCCACACGGCTGTTGGCTTCCGCCTGGAGCATTGTGGGGGGCATCGTCTCCAGTATGCGCCACAGTTCGAGCGTCTCGTCGAGTGAGACCTCGAGGAGATCACCCTCCATCATTAGATCTAGTAGATTCTCAATTTCGCTATCGGACAGCAGCTTGAGGAGATCGGAATTCAATTCGGTGTTCGTTGCGGGGCGGGGCAGCTCATCCTCATCGTTGCTGAAGCCATCCTCGACGATCCGTAGCCGGCACTCGTCATCATCGTCATCATCATCGGCATCCGACTCTGTGGAGCCGCTGGCCTCCTTGGCCATGCTGCCACGACGCCGGGGCTTGCGGGGACTGTTTATGTTGCCCACAACACCGCCGCCGCCGCCACCACCGATGCCACCACCTTCCGAGCGACGCTTCTGCTGCTGGGCGAGAATCGCCTCCTGGGCCGCACTCACATCGGGGCTGCTGAGGGCCTTGCGGGCCCTGTCCTGCCAGTTCATGGCACGCTCCGCCAAACAACGCAAAGCCTCATCCTCGGGCAGACGTATGGGCAGCTGCTGGAGCTGAACGAGCAGCGGAAGGATCGTTTCCAGACGCGGCCGCTTCGAGCGCACACAGCTGGGGCACAGCCACTTGGGCCGATTCGTGGGTGGCACCATGCCGCCGCCGCCGCCGCCGCCTCCGACTCCTCCTCCATTCAGCAAACCATTCTGACTCAATGCCGAGGGTGGCGGTGGCACACAGTCCTCGTGGAACCAATCGCGACACAACTGACAATTGTACATGAGGCCACGGAACTCGGCCTTGCACAGACAGAACATATCCCGCAGGGGGTTCTTGGTCATGTTCTGGCGCCGTAGGTCGCGCATATCGAGCAGCTCCTGCTCCTCGGCATGCTTGAAACTGTCGACAATCTCCGCCGGATTCTTCTCCTTCAGAAAGTTATCCTGCAACAGGGATTTTTTAAAGCAATCTAAATCAAAGAATACTTTCGACGACTCTACCTGGAAGCGCGGCTTGAGATCCGAGTCAATATTGATGGCATCCGCCCGAGGCATCAGCACCTCGAGCAGCGTATAGAAGGTGCCCTTCTTGAGGAAGGCGCACGCCGTATTATCCTTCCACTGATTGGCGCTGTACAAATGGCCCTGCATGCGGCTGAGCTCCTCCAGCTGAATGGGTATATTCAGGCCACGCTCAATCATATTCTCGAGCGTGTGACAGTAGGTGA